CAGCAATGACTTTTAAAAATATGATGCTAAGGGTACTAGTCTGCTTGGGCTGCCGTAACAAATACCATACACTGGGTGGCTTAAACAATGGAAATGAATTTTCTTCTGGTTCTGGAGGCTGGAATCCAGAGGCTGAGATCAAGGTATCAGCAGGGTTGGTTTCCCCCGAGGCCGCTCCTCTTGGCTTGGAGATGCTGCCTTCGCCCTGCATCTTCACACTGTCTTTCCCGGTATATTTCTGTGTCCCCATTTCCTCCACTTATAAGGACACCATTCAGATTGGATTAGGGCCTCATTTTAACTTAGTTACCTTTTCAAAGACCCTGCCTCCAAATACATTCACTTTCTGAGGTTACTGAGGGTTAGGACTTTAATATATGAAGAAGGAGATAGAATTCAGCCTCTCACACTAAGTAAAATAAGCCAGGTATCAAAGGGAAAATATTACATGATTCCTCTTATAGGTGGTGCCTAGAATAGGCAAATTCATAAAAAAAGAGAGTAGATTAGAGGTTACCAGGGGCTTGGGGGAGGGGGAAATGAGGGCTAATGAGTGTGAGGACGTTTGGGATGATGAAATTGTTCTAGAAATGGATAATGATAATGGTTGTACATTACTGTGAATGTATTTAATGCCACTGAATACACTTAGAAATAGTTAAAATAGTAAATGTTATGTTATGTGCATTTTGCCACAGTAAAAAAAACAAAAACAAAAACAAAAAACGAGACTAGCAAGAGATGGCGGGGAGGGGGGACTCCTTTTCCACTCAGTCTTATATGAAATGCTCAATTCCCAGAGGTACATGGGTCTCGTTTAAGCTGGGGGCAAGTCTGTTCTCGCTAGTCCCAGGTGCCAAGTGAGTGTCAGCATGTGTGGGGAGCACCTTTGGAGAGCTGGGCAAGTTTAGGAGTTTGGGATTTTACATAATCAAGGCTGAGACATTGGCTCTTTCTTGGGGTCTGGGGACAGGAGTGTCACCCAGTTGGGGCCCTGGTCCTGCCACCTGCAGGGTTGTGAGGTGAGAGGGGCAGTGCTAGGCAGATGCCTGGGTTTTCTCTTGATGTGCAAAGAGCAGGGCTTGGAGTCTACGGGCCGAGATTCCACCTGCAGATGACCTCCTCCCAGCGGGACCTGATCATAATCCCCAAAGACACAATCCTGAATGCCATCATCCCAAATGTTAAAATCTCAAAAATATAATTTTGGAAAAACATTCTTTAAAATATGTTTATTTACATTTTTAAAAGGGAGTTTGCTTGAGAAACATGTAAACACGTGACAGAACATTTTATAGGTCATTTTACATAATAAAATAGGCGATAATAGCACATAGATTTTTGTAAGCATAAACACTCAGGTGTGTAATGATAGTCACACTGGTATAACAGTTATGAGCAGATGAGCTGTATTCAGAAAGAACTATGTCTTTATGGACACACCTGCGGGGCTCCACCTTGCGGCCTCCAGAGCCAGACTGCTCTGCTGCAGTGCTGGGCAAATTGTTAACCTTTCTGTGCCTTAGTATCTTCATTTGTGAAGTGGGGGTAATAGCATCCAATGAGAGCAGAGGGCTTGGTACAGTATCTAAGCTTTGGTTAGTGTGAGCAAAGGGCTGAGTGTAGATATAGTGCACCTGCTCCATGAGTGCTGTTCCTGTGGCTGTGGATGGCTCAGTCTGTGGATGTGCGTTTCTAGCATAGAGGGCAAGGGCATGTCTCCAGAGCCAGACCCTGACTTTGCATCCTGCCTCCCTCCAGCTCATTAACCTCTATGTGCCTCAGTCTTCCCATCCACAAAATGGGGATAATAATGATAGCACTCAGCGTTGTTATGAGAATTAAATGAGTTAATTAATGCCAAGTGCTGAGAACAGTGCCTGGCACAGGGCAAGGGTGATGGGAATTTATTTGCTGTGGTGACTTTTACTGCTATATTACTCAGAGTGAAAATATTACGCAGGACACCCTGTCAGTCCCCAATGTCTAAATGGTTTGCTTGAGGTCCGCTGGGGGAAAGGGGCTTACCTGAGGCTGACTTTCTGGGTCTGAGCCCTGGAATCCTGTCCTGACAGCCCTGGGAGGTGAACCTATGGCAGGGCTGGCACCGAGACCCCCTAGAGCCACCCCCAGCATCTGCTCTTCTGCAGAGGGAGGCTTCCTTACCTGTGGCCTTCATAGGGCATGGGCCATAGAGTGGCAGGGGGCCCTGGCTCTCCCTGGCACATTCTGGGCTCCTGAGAGGGTGGCCAGGGGCCAGGGTGTCAGAGGGAAGGCGAGAGCCTTTTAAGGAAACATTTCTCTGCTTAAAAAAAAAGAGAGAGACAAGAAACATTGAAACACACAACAAAGTCAGTGGGCTGGCTGGCCAGCGGGCCTGGAATGCGTGGCTGTGGGCGGAGGAGGGAGGACGCTGTGGGGGGCAGCAGGCCACGAGGGGGCACCCAGGCATCGGGCACTTGGGCTGGGGATTGACAGCTCCCCCGCAGGGCCAGGTTCTTAGGAGGTGCCTCTGCCTTGGGAGGCCAGGGAAGGGACCTGCAGCCAGGATCTCTGGGTCTCCTCCTGTCTACTTCCTGAGAGGGGGTCTGGGCGGGAGAGGGGAGACCTTCCTTTTCATCTCAGAGAACACCTGTATATTCTGCTCCTGCTTCAAAATGCAGCCAGAACCGCCTCCCTCCCTCTCCCAATCCTCAGCTTCTAAATGGAGCTCAGAAACCCACCTCCTGTGAGGGAGGGGGCTGCTGGAGGCTGGGGCCCTGGCAGCAGCAGGCATCAGCCAGTCCTCTGGCAGCTCAGCCTGGCTAGCGGTTCCTGCTCAGCCCAAGCTGAGAAGAAAGGAACACAGCAAGGGTGCTGTCCTGGGAATTGTACTCCCTCCCCCAGGACTAAGGGACCCGTGGAGACAGAATGGGTTGGGAGAAGGCACCCTGGGGCCCTAGCCCATGACTTTGAAACCTTCCAGTCCCCAGAGCAGGGTTTGATGCCATGCTTGGCAGGGACAGCAGTGTCCCCTCTATCTGAGACCTAATTTTGTAGGCAGGACAAGCAGAGAGCCCTGCAGGCCACAGCCAGCTCTGGGGACTTTACCTTCCCTCCCAGTCTGTTACCCTGGCACCCTCTCCCTGAGCCCTAGGCTCTATCCCCCAGGTGCCTCTTCTAAAACAGTCACTCATAGCCCCATGCTAGTGTGAATTAAGGACCCTGGGCTTCTGGGGCAGTTCTGTTTCGCCTATGTCTCATTCTTCTGAAATTGGGACCACAAGTGATTAGTTTCCCTTCACATCTCATCTTGGGACTCAGACTGCCTGGGTTCAAATCCCAGTCACTATCAGCTGTGTCACCTTGGGCAATTTAATCTTTCCACGCCCAGCACCCCGTGGCTGGGGGAATAACAGTAGTACCCATCTTACTGGGTTGTTGAAAGAGTTAAAGATATTAATGAGGTAGGGCATTTATCATCATGCCTGTCATCCAGTACGCATTCAGTAGTACTGGATATTATTGTTGCTGGCTCTTTTCGGCCCCCTGTGATTCTCCCACCAGTCCTAGAATTCTGTGGAGCAAGGGGAGTAATTGCTAGGTCTCCACTTGGGCCTCTTTGCTGGAGAATGAGTTGTAGCCTGACTGTGTCAAGAACCCAGGAATGCCAACTCCCAGCCACCTCTGCCCCCTCCAGAGCATGGGGCACCCTGCCCCACAGGTACTGTCCTTGTCTGGGCTGGCGTGTCAAGCCTGGGGAATCCCTGGGCTGGTAGGATGACAGCATGTGGTCAGCTGGAGGGAGGGCTCCACTAGGGTGCCCATTATGCCCAGTCAGTACCAGCTTGGGCTGGGCTGAGGGCTTTTGCTGCTACCACTCCACCAGGCTGGTAGTTGGGGAGGGGTTGCCTACTGCCTGGGGGAGGCAGCTACCCCCACTTTGGACATCCATGGCTTGTTCCCAGATAGCCCCATGCCCGAGGGAGAGTCTCCCTCTCTGTGCCCTCTGTGGGCCCCTTGCCTGGTGTTCAGGTCGGGAATTGGAGCCAAGGTTGAGGACTGAGCTCCAAGAAAAACGTGTCCTAGCTAGAAAAAAGGAGCACATTCAGTCTCTGATAAATGCCCCTGCTAATTGTCAGGGTAATGGCTCAGCTGCCAGGCCTGGCCAGGGGAATGTTATCTCAGGGAAGGGAGCAATGGAGCCTTCCCTCCCTCCCCTCTACTCTCCTCCTCCCTCTCCCTCCCTCCCCTCTGCTCTCTCCTTCCCCCTGCCTTCTTCCTCTCTACTCTCCCCCTTTCCCTTCTTCCATCTGTCTGGAGGTCTAAGTTGCCATCTCCTTCTCCAGATCAGAGAGGAAGATGAGGATGATGAAGCTGGTGAAGATCACAGCTCACTCATAGAGGGTGCTTCTGCCTCTCCAAGCCTTCCACATGTATGAGCTGCACTAACCGATTTCTTGGAAGGGCTGGGGGTCCCTTTGCCTAACCATTTCCTACATGCTCTAGGAAACTGCCGGAGCTGGTAGGAGTCTTCTGCAGCTCTGACCTTCAGGTGAGATCCCTTAGCATTGGGGAGAACCAAGGACGTGACTCTCCCTTTTCTGAAGGTCCTAATCACAGTTTAAAAAAAAATGTAAAATGAATTTTACACTATTGTAGAAAATTCAGGACATAAAGCAAACAAAACAAAACACAACACCCTTCTTCTTACCTGAAGCCTCTGTTATTGAAATGCCAGTGCAGTGACCTCCAGTCTTCCAGCATCTGCATATTTGTCACAGAATTTTAATTGTGATGCTCATTTCATTTTTGCTTTTTGCAGCCCCCACTCCCTTTCCAGGCATTATTGCTGGAGTATTTTTTTCCATGTTGCTGCATAGTCTGCTGAAGAACTCTCGACCCAGAAGGTGTCAATGTGTGTGAGAGAATGGGGTGGGGGCATGGGGTGACCTCAGGAGGTGCTGGCTGTCTCTGGAGTTGAGAGATGCTCACCTGCCCTTTCTCTGTTCCTTCCACAGGTAGCTGCCCCCTGCGTTCCTCCATCCAACCATGAGCTGGTGGTGAGTGACAGCCCTTCTTTGCCCTGCTAGCCCTGCCTCCCCTCCTTCCGCAGCTCCCAGCTGCAGCTTTCTTTAGACCCAAATATGTTGGTAGCTGGGATGTCGGGCAATTAGGTGGAGGAGGAGGGTCGACCTCCCTGGGCCGAAGCAGGCCTGGGAGGAAATGAGTCATGAGGCCCCTTCTGATGAGATGCAGGGCCTGCTATTTCTAACCTTGAGACTTACGTCCCTAGAAAAACCCATAAAAGGGCATCGTGTGTGTCTCCAGGCCTGGCCAGGTGCCTGTTGTCCCAGGACTCAGGGGACCAGGGGCTGCTGTGGCATCTCCTTCTGCCTGCCTGGTCCTGGGTCAGGCAGCCCAGGACCAGGCAGGCAGGGCTGGAGGCAGGGGATGACCCTCAGAGTCCGTTCACCTGGGCAGTTTCTCCCTGCAGGCAACCTCTGTTCTGCCTCTAAGCCGCTTTGCTTTGCTTTTTCGCTCCCTTTCCATTCCCTCATTCCTCTTCCCCTCACCCTGGAATCAGGCCTGCATAATAGCCTGGACTGGGACGGGATCCCTGTGAGTTGTGGGCTGTAGAGAGGGTCCTTCTCCACCCTGATGCCAGCTGGGTTGATTTGGCGCACTGGGCACTCTTCCTCCCTGTCTCTCACCACCTTATCCTTCAGAGGTTTTCTTCCTCCCCACCATGTCCCTGGAGACAGACAAGGCTCTGAGGGCTGCTGGAGAGGGAAGGGGGCTGTCCGTGTGTACATGTATGTCTGTGCACAGGTGTGTGGATGTGTCCCGGAGGGGCACCATGTGGGCACAATTGGTTCAGCCTATGGAGGTACCTGTGGTGGTACTGATGTTGGCAGGAGCCTGGGGGCAGGGCAAGGCTTCCTGGGACGCAGGCAGTTGTAGGTACCTCACACACCTCTGCAGTGACTTGCTCAGCCCCAGACACTGGGCGCTCAGTCAGGCCACATTCTTTTTCCTTTCATCAATACCCACTTGCTGTGTGACAAGGGGCTGGTCCCATCCTGTTTCTTTCTGGACTTCAGTTTTCCTTTCTGTCGAAGAGAAGGGTTGGATGAGATGCTCCAAAGGCCCCCTCTATGCTGATGAATGTTCGCTTTCCCTCCCTCCCCATTTAGGGTGGTGGTGGAGTGATCTGAAGTGCACAGAAGTGCTTGGCACTCTTAGTGTCACTGCTCTGCGCACTCTGGCTCGGGCCCTTCCGGGGCTGTTTACCTTCTTTCCAGGGGCCCCTCCTTCCCTGGTCTCACTAGGGTCAGGCCCTCGTGGGCTTCAGCGCTGCCCACCCCTGCTGCTGCAGATGCGGAGTGTTATTCACACGGAGCCCAGTTGAGGGTCATCTGACAACAGCGGGAGCTGGGGGTGGAGTGCAGTCTGGCTTGGAACCACCAGCAAGAAATTGCGCTTGGATTGCAGAGGGACACCATGGGAGCCCGAGGAGGGCGGGCGGGGAGGGGTGAGTGTACATTTCTCCTGATTCCAGCTGAACTCCCACCTTGTGGCTAAGAACAGAATGTCCTTGGCTACTTTATGAGGCTGGGGGTCCAGGGTTTAGGGACCACCAGGCAGAAGCTAAACGTCTGGCTGCTGGGAGTCTCATGAGCTTTGTTTACATGAAGAGCGGTCAGAGGTTGGGACAAAAGGGAATAGGTTGGCATTCCAGCTGGAGGGACTGCAGTTAGAATCCAAAAGAGACTCCTGCCTGAGCAAGGCTGCGTGTCTCTATGCCATGCCCCACCTGTGCAGGGGTTTCTGCCTTCTGAGGAGGCTGGATCAGCCGCCTGGTGGTGAAATGGCTGTGACACCAGGCTGCCTCCCACGGTAAAGAGCAAGGGAGTTAGACCGCCTCCTTCTGCATCCCAGCCTCCCCGCTCCCTGGGCGTGTGACCCTGACATTGCTAACCTCCCTGGACCTCCATTTCTCTTCTTCATAATGGGAGTTAGTGATGGTACCTATACTGTAAGACTGCCAAAAGACCAAAGTGAGCACATTCATCCATTTGATGCATCTGTTTTCAAAGCCCTTCAATGCTGGCCCACCTCCCTGGAGCAAAAGCTCCAGGAACCAGGTGGTTCCTCTCTCGCCTCAGCTTCTTCTCATTTACCTCTGTCTTGTGATTTTCCTCTTTCCCCTCATCTCCTTCTTAGCACCTCACTCGCTCTGTTTCAGCCGCCTGGACTTTCCTGCGGGTCCTTGAGCATACATAATGCCTCCAGGCCTTTGCAATCACTGTTCCCCCTGCTTGGAATACTCTTTCCGCAGATACTCACAATGCTTTTTCCCCAGTCTCACGTCTTTTTTTTCTATTTTTGGCTGGAGTGCAGTTGTGTGTTCTTGGCTCACTGCAACCTCTGCCTCCCGAGTTCAAGCAATTCTCCTGCATCTGCCTCCCTAGTAGCTGAGACTACAGGCACGCACCACCATGCCCTGCTAATTTTTGTATTTTTAGTGGAGATGCGGTTTCATTATGTTGGCTGGGCTGGTCTCGAACTCCTGACCTCAAATGATCCTCCTGCCTTGGCTTCTTAAAGTGCTGGGATTACAGGCGTGAGCCACCGCGCCCAGCTGAACCTCAAGTCTTCACTCAAGTGTCAGCATTTCTCTTTCCCCAGCATCAGTCCCCCTTCCATGCTTCTATTGCTCCCAGCACGTACCACCCTATGGTGTGTTTTACGCTATGTATTTTACTTATTTGTCTTGTTTGACGAGCTTTGCCCATGCCAGTAGGTAAGCTCCTTTAGGACAAGGGATTTTTATTTGTTTGGATCGATGCTGTGTCCCCACTGCCTTGCGTACAGTAGGTGCTCTATATGTGTTTCTTGAATGGCTGGAAGGAAGGCATTCGGCCCAATGTCTGATAGATTAGGTTCTCAATAAACAGGACTGCTATGGCTAGTGGGTGGAGCTGTCGAGTTCAAAGGGTGGGAGTCCATGAGGGAGGGTGGCAGCTGCCTTTAGCTGGAAGCCCTGCTACTGTCCCTGGGGAGTGGGAAAGTGGCCCAGGGGAAACCGGGAGAAAGTTTGGCTTCCCCGAGAGCACTCAGCACCTGTTTCCTCACGGGCGGGCAAGGCAAGTGCTTTGAACAGGTTCACAAGAGGGAGGAAAGGGCGGGTTTTTATTTTTCCTTCCTTTTCCGTTTGCTGCCTGCCCTTCAGCCCCTGTAGGCTGTTCTCCGGCCTCCCTGCCCGTTCTCTGTCCCTCACGGTGTGTCTCTCTTTCTGTGTGTCATGTCTTCTTCATGTCTCAGTTCAGCTCCAGCTCTCCCTCTGGCCTTTCACTGATCTTGCTTAAATTCTAACCCCTGGGATTAAGACCCCTCCTCCCAGACACAGAATTTCTGCCCAGCTTCAGGCCTTGCCAGCCAAACATATTTCCCAGCCTGCACCCGGGCCAGCCAGGGCAAAGTGGCTTAATCTTCAACTATGTTTTCATCTTACTCAACAGATGTTGCCCAAGACCTTGGGTAGAAGGGTCCTAGGGTCACCACCCTCCTGTGAGGCACTGGTGGGCCAGGATGGAGAGGTGAGAGGGCTTGTTTTCCATGCATGCTCCTGATCCTTGGAAAGAGCTGAAGCAGCTTTTCTTGATTTTTGAAAAATAAGAGTCAAAGGAATTTTTCAAGGGTGATCGCCAAATGGGGTGGCCACCAAGGTCGACAGATGTCAGGCTTTCTGTGTGCAGGAGACCTGGACTGGGGGATGAATGGCGTGCAAATTGCTTCTCCTCACACTGGGGCAGCTGCAACACAGGGGCTTAGAATGTCTCTACAGAGTGACTTGGAGGTCTGTAGGTCGGGATGGGGAGTCTGGAGGAGAAGAGGTGAATGGGGGAATGGGAAGTGCCCAGCACGAAATCATGCTTGGATTGCGGAGGGACACCATGGGAGCCCAAGGAGGCTGGTTTCACCCATATTACTAATAATAGCTACAGTGAGAATTTAACCCTTTAACAGAACTTCATATCTGCGGAGCTTCATTCTAAAAACTTTAAAAAAATAAACTGATTTAATCCTGATGGCAGTGCAGTGAGGGAGGTGCTGGGATGATTCCAATGTCACAGACGAAGAACTGAAGCTGAAGGCCACAGAGCTATTCAAAGGGGGAGCTGGGATTCTTACATGGGGGTCTGGTACAAGAGTTCACCCTCCTCAGCACTAATAATGACTGATGTCACTGTTACTTGCATAGCACTTCCCGTTTTCAAAGCCTTTTTCATGATATGGGGCCATTGGAAGCCCACGGTGACTTGTTTGGAAGGCTGGCAGGCCCAAGCCCATCCTGGGAAGACGGGAGGGGCAAACTGTGCAGTGGAGCAAACTAGCTGACCTGCTCACGGTCACACAGCTCGCCATGGCGGGGCTGGGTCAGGAGTGGATTCTTGGTCTGCGTTTCTCCCCAGGCTGCCCTCCGTGCTTGTTCCTGATGTAAGTACCTGATGTTGCCGAGTGATGGGTTTCTCCTGGTCCCCTCTTTCTAGACAACTAGCTTCTGTTTGCTAGTAGGCTTGGGATTTGGGGGAGGATCTGTCCATCCATGTAACCATCCAGCCATCCTACCAACACATATCTCTTGAGCACCTACCCCCAGGCTTAGGACCCCTCGGTGCCAGGCGCTGTTCTGCGTGCTGGGGCTGTGAGTTCTTTTCTGTCACAGTTGTCAGGGCTTCTTGAAGACAGATGGGTGTGGAGCAGACCTGGTGCCACAGGGTGGAGAGGACTTTAGTCCCATCCTGTTCTTTTGCAGATAAGGAAACAGGCCCTGATCTTCTTAAGTGACTTTCTGAGGGTCTCCCAGTGTCAGATCTGAGGCCAGAAGGCACTGTGTGGCCTCACGGAAGGAGAGAAGGGTGTGATGTTAACCGGGAGCAGAGAAAGTGAGTGGAGCACTGAGCTTCAGCGCGCGGGCTCGCTCCCTCAAAGGTGATAGACAGTCACTTCAGCCGGCCCGAACTCCAGCCACCGGGCAGGCTAGGGGTGGCCATCC